GCGCCCCTGGTTCCCGGCCCGGCACCATGCCCCCGGCCCCGCACCGCCGGCCCCGGCCGAGCACCACCGAGCCCTCCCGATTTTCCCGGACATGCCCGGCTTTTTGGGGATTTCCCCCCGGACGGGGATTTGAGCCCCCAAAAGCCGGACATGTCCGGGAAAAATCCGGACGTATGGTAACCCTACCTGGAAGGAACGAGGGAACAACCCAGATCCCGGGGTCTGAGAACCTCCCTGCACTCAGCAGCTCTGTGATTGCAGAGTTCAGTGCAAATGGGATGACTCCACTGCAGTCCCTAGGGACGTGAGTGTGAAACCCGAGAGAGATCAGGATTAGCCCTGAAGAGACTCACCCCTTCGTTGTGGAAACATTTCAGCCCAGAAATGACCAATACTCTCCTCCTGCTTCAGCCCCTGAGGGCATTGGCTCATTCAGGCCATGGTCAGTCAGTGACTGATTTCTCTTCCCATCTCCCAGTGAGTGAGTGGGGAGCCCTGGCCTATGGGCAGCCCCGTGTCACAGGCTGGAACAGGGCTCGGGGTAGGTTTAGTTATAAACAACGTGCTCTTACCCTGCACAGGTTTGAACGCCCCCCATCTGCGGCCTGGCCTAAGCAGGGCTGGAACTGAGTTAGCAGGTCGAGGGGCCCTCACAGCACGAGAGAGTTCAGGGCCCTCAGGTCAGGGAGTGGAGATCAGCCCCAGTGACCCGGCCACCTTCCCAAACTGTCCCGCAGGACTACGGCTGGCCCAGCACCCAGCTCACCGTGCCCGCCACACTTCCCGAGACATTCTGTTTGGGTCGCAAAGTTGTTCTTGTTCCCATCACAACCTCCATAGGTGAATTGCTCACACTTCTTGGCCTGCCAGTTGTAGAACCAGCGAGGGATCATGGCATAACAGGACCCGGGGTCAGCAGGGAGTCTACAAAGGTCTGAGGAGCAGAGCAGAGAGAGAAGTGTCTGAAAGGCAGAGCAAAGCCACTCTGAGCTGGGAAGCAGAAAACGAGGGTTTCTCCTCCGTCCCCCGGTCCCTTCCCCCTCCACTGCCTGCTGCCCACACTTACCCCCAGCCGCAGGGAGCAGCTGGGCCCAGAGGGCCAGGAGCCCCAGGGGGAGGAAGATGCTGCCTGACTTCATGGTGCTGCCGGGAGCTGGGTCCAGTGCCCAGCGCTGAGCCGGGCTGGGATTTAAACCCGGTAGGGCCGGATCAGAAGGGGGGGAGGTGGCTGCAGTGACCTATCGGCTCCTGCCACGCTCCAGCACCCGCACGCGCTGTCTGACAATAAATCAGTCCCCCCGGATGGAACAAGGAAACAACCCGGATCCCGGGCTTTGGGAAACCCCCTAGAAGGAACCTGGAGAAACAGGGAGGTCCAGAGCGCCCTGCGGGGAGACAGCCTGGTGCAAAGTGAGGCTGATGGGGAGGTGAGCTGGGGAGCCCAGGGTTCATGTGAGCAGGGCATGGAGATGGGGCACGTTGTGCAGTGGGGCTGAGAAGGCCAAGAGGATTCTGGGTAGCAGGCGACACGGTGTCACGAAGGCGTGGTGACATGGAACAGGCTGTCTGCCCTGCTGGTACCAGGGCGTCACACGCGCTGCGCTGCTCATCCTGCTGGAGTCTCCTCAGTGCACGGCCACAGCCTGCGCCAATGCAAACACCCTCCACACCTGGCATGGTACTGAAACCCTGCCCAAGGCAGGAGATGGTGCAGAGAAGAGCTGTTAAACTGAGTGCACCTACAAAGGGGATTAGCTCTGAGCCCAGGCTGGAGATATTAATCCGATGTGTAACACTGACAGACTCCAGTCGTCGGGGGGCGGGATCGCACCTGGGGCCTCTGGAGATTAGTGCAGGAGCCTCTACCGCATGGGCTAAAAGCCACATGGCCCTTAGCCAGGGCTGGCTCCAGGCACCAGCTTACCAAGCAGGTGCTTGGGGCAGCCACACCAGAGAGGGGCGGCACGTCCGGCTCTTCGGCGGCAATTCGGCAGTGGGTCCCTCACTCCAGCTTGGAGCGAAGGACCTCCTGCCGAAGTGCCACCGATTGCGATCGCGGCTTTTTTGTTTGTTTGTTTGTTGTTTTTTGGGGGCGGGTGGCTGCTTGGGGCGGCAAAAACCCTGGAGCCGGCCCTGCCCTTATCTAAGGCGGTAGAGCAGACTCATTAATTGTTTTCTCTCTCTAAGTGGTCTCGGTGCCACTCGATGGGACAGACACCAGCCCCAGGAGGTGTGTGGGTTACATACGCAGTGTGGGGAACAACAGCTATGGGAAGGCAATGGCCTGGGGGAGGCTCTCAGACACTCCGGGCAGGACAGAACCTGGCTGGGACAGAGCTCGACCCAAGCAGGAACGAGGGTCCTGGCCAGGAAGAAACACCCCTGCCAGCTTCGGCAGAGACGCTGACGTCTGGGCCCTGGGAGAGGCGGGCTCGGTCAGTGCTGACGTGCAGGGCAGGGCCTGATGCTGAGGGCTAGACCTTCACATCAGCCCTGCACGGCCTGTGAGCAGTGACTGCACCTGGAAACTCGCAGGGAGCAGCTGGGCCCAGAAGGCCAGGAGCCCCAGGAGGTGGAAGATGCCCCCTGCCTTCATGGTGCTGCCGGGAGCCGGATCTAGTGCCCAGCGCTGAGTCGTGCCCACATTCAAACACTAACCTGGCGGGGGCTGGGTCACGAGGAGAGGCGGTGGCTCAGTGCCCTATATGGGTTTGGCACGGTCCAGTCCCAGTTTATTTCCTTGTGTGGGAAGCCAGTTCTTGGTATCTGTCTCCACCCAGGTGAGACTCTGAAATGATAAGTGGTGTCTTTAGTGATGTCAATTTAAACAATAATAAAAGATGCCCTGGCAAAATCTCAGGGTTTCCAAACACTTATTGAAACTGCCAGTAACAAAGGCTCAGCTGCTGGTGGCATCACCTATGGATCTAAGTAAAACGTTCACTCAGCAGCCGAGAGAGAACCCCAAGCTCACCACACGCACAGAAGCTTCCCTGGCAGAGCAAGGGGTTTTGCAGCATGCCGGGAAGTCATCGAATTTGGTTTATTTTGGATCAGGGAGGAGCAGGCCCCAGAGCCCATGAGCCCTCACTGCCAGCCCCTCCCTCTGCCCTATAACCCGGGATCAGCACCCCTCCCCCGACAGCAGCGGTGCTGGTCCAGCCTGGGGACAGAGGTGATCTCTGAGGTAAGGCCAGTCCCCGGCTATTTAGGGCTGCAGAGACCAATGGGCAGCCAGTGCCGATCCCGGCGCATGGGGTCATGTGCTCCCAGAGAAGTGCCCCGCTCAGTAAGCGAGTGCTGCGTTCTGCACCAGCGCCAGACTCTGGCTGGCCGTAAGGGGCAGCCCCATGCAGAGCACACGGCAATAGTCTGACCTGCAGGTGCCCCAGGCCTGGAGAACAGTGTCACGGTTGGGACGGGAAAGGGAAGGTCCCAACCTCCAGGCCAGGCACGGCTGGTGTAGGGCTGACTGGGTTACAGCAGTGATGGGATCATCCCAACGCTGCTGGGGGCCTAGAATCACCCCCTGGTAAGTAATGGCAGATGCACGCCTCAATCAAAGGGACTGACATCACCTTTGCCAGCTCCCCCCCCTCCAGTCCTGTCTGGGCTGGGCCTCAGCCAGCTCCTCTCATCGGGCCTCAGGCTCAACGGGACAAGGGCTGCGGCACTGAACTGCACTGTCCATATTGGGCAAAATGGAGCCCTTCCATTGGGTGCTGTCAGGCCTCTGAAAACACTGCGCCCCAGGCCTCCTCCGAACCCTCCTGCTGGCCTCAGGCGCCGTCTGGGTGGGGGCTACAGAACGCTCCCCGGCGGCACCCCGCACTGGAAGAAGACCGATCGCCCATGACTAACCACTGAGATCAGAGAGTCAGCGCAAAGCCCGACGCGAGCAGTCCCATTCGCCCCACCAGACTCCACAGGTGAGTCAACAGCACCTTGTGTCCAACAAGACAGGAGCCAGCCCACAGGTCTAATCATGCCAGCATAGACTTCTGAGCTCCACTTCCTGGCAGGAGCTGATCCGTGACCCGCGTGGGCTCTGTGCTGGACCAGGTCTCTGCCCGACCTCAGCAGCATAGAGATGCCAGGGAGAGTTTTCTCACTGCAATCTGGGTCCGAAAGGGAAGATGTGACCCCGGGCAAGAACTGGCCAATCTGTCAGTCAAGCAACGGGTTCCTGGGCAGAGGCTGCATTGATGCTTTCTTAAAAACCTTTTCAATGAGCAGCGCTGCCACTTTTCACCGGTAAAGGGCCCGGCCAAGAAGGACACGGGCCCAAAGCACAGGCTGCTGTGGGACAAGGGGCTCTCAACCCCTCCAGCATCGTCCGGCTTCCATTCAGCCAAGGTCAGGGGTCTCATCCTTTGTGCAATCATGGAAGGTTGGTGTTCTCGTCACCACTCCTCCTCATGGACTAGAGGCCGGGGACACCTGCCTCGCCTGAGGAGGGGCAGCAGACGAAGCCGATGGAACCGAGTTTAAACATCTCATTGACTGGCCGCCTCTTCTTACGGCTTCCTTGTTTTCATGGCCGCGCTCCCCGCCCACCAGCAGAAGGGTGAGTGAGGAATGAGGCTCCCACCCTACGCCGACCTGTTCCCAGCATAGGGCAGCATTATTCCACCCACTCAGCCATTGCAAACTGAAACCACACCCCAGGCTGGCAGGAATTGCATCCATTGCACACTCGTCCCCCGGGCCAGAGAGCCAGGCCAGTAACTAGGGCACCGAGTTTCATCTGGCAGGATGTCAGCCTGGCCACGGCTCTGTGCTCAGACAAGCCCCCATCACGAGTGACGTGTAACAGCTGCTGGGCTTTGGGGAGCTCGAGCTGACGTGTGAGTGCAGCACGCGCTTGCCCTGGGCAGATCCATGCCTGGCTGCTCCCGTGAGAACCTCTAACAGGAAGTGAAGAGCGAGAGAAACCTCTGCAGCCTCGCCCTGTGGCTGCGACAGTGTCCGGTTAGCGGCGCTATCGCGGGGAGACGGGTCTAGGAGCCTGGCACTGAGGTGGCACTTCCCAATTTCCAGCCCAGCTTCTCAGGCACTTAGAATTGTTGGGGAAAATTCCCGTCTGGCCTGAAATGTCTCCTGCCTGTTCCCAGCTTAGTGGGGAACTTGGGATCAAATTCCACTGGGCTGGTTTCTCAGGTCTCTCTCCTGCCGCGTCTAAGCTACGCTCTGGGCAGTGCAGGGTGTCACAGAGTGTGGGGGGACACAGGGCCCTGCACCCCCGGCTTCCTGCGATTCACCATGACTCTCAGCCAGCCAGTAAAGCAGAAGGTTTATTTAGATGACAGGAACACAGTCCAAGACAGGTCTTGCAGGCACAGACAACAGGATCCCCCCCAGTTAGGTCCATCTTGGGGTCCCAGGGGCACCACAGTTCCATTGGGAGGGCAGAGCCCCGTCTGGGCTCCCTCCATTACCAGCCAGCTCCTCCAACCCTCACTCCCTCCAGAGTCTCACCCAGCCTCCCCCAGCTCCTCCCCCAGCCTTTGTCCAGTTTCCTGGGCAGAGGTGTCACCTGGCTCCAACCCCCTTCCTGGGTTCTCACGTTACATGCTCAGGTATCTTCCCTCAAGGCCAGTCTCCCATCCCCCAATGCAGACTGTCCTAGCCAAACTCCCCACTCAGCATTCACAGACCACATTAAGAACAGTCCCAGTTCGTCACACAGGGCTTTAGTTCAACTTCCAACTTTGTTCAGACTTTTCCTACGCTGGTGATTTCAGCCGCCTCACCGACAAAAACCACCCGCGGGCGGAGTTCAGTGAGAGCCGGGGGCAGCGCAGTCTCCTCAGTGCAAGAACCACACAGGGATGCAGTTTTCCCCAACCCCGGCGTTAGAACCCCAGGACATTCAGAGTCCAGGTTACATGGGACCAATCCGGCCACGTGGAAGTAAGAGAGGCCCAGGAAAGGCCCCAGGTTTCTGTGGGACACTTGCTGAGTCCCTGATTTTCGATGACGTGGGAAGGGAGATCAGCTGGCCTGGGTGCAAAGGAGACGTGTCACAGGGCGTGGATGGAAGCTCAGGGAGGCCATTGCTGCCTCCCAACCCAGTCCCGTCCCGTCCACGAGAACGAGGGGCCAAGAGACCCCGGGAAGGGGCAGGGCATTCCCAGAAAGAACAGGAATTAGTCCTTCACCCAGCGGGGGGCCTGGGGGTTTCCACGGCTGAGCCCGGGGGCATGACCTGAAGTGGGCTGTGAAGGAGGGCAGCGTG